TACACACACACAGAATATATATATATATATATATATATATATATAAACAAGTACATGAACGCACATCCGAAGGAAGTATTAATTATTTGATCGAGAGATGCTATATAGGTTACAACTCACCATTATTACATCACAGATTATATTCTGATTATGGATTTTATTTTTTATTTTTTTATTTTTATATTGGTTGTTGGTTATGATTTCTTAATCAGATATCTCATTCATGTTTGCTGGTCGAAAATGATTGTTAGGCATTACCCATTTTGCTTATTTCCCATCATATGTTTATTTTAATTAGGGAAAAAATCCTAAAAATTCTTAAATTTATAATTTGGAGTAATATTAATTCCTAAATTTGTAGATGTGCCTATTAATTCCCAAACTTGCAAAATTGAACACGTTAAATCCTGAACTTGTTAAACGGTTCCATATTCGTCCATAGCGTTATTTGGTCAAAAAAACGAGTTGACCGATCCGACGTGGCTCGCCACGTCACGCGCCACGTCGGATCGGTCAACCCCCGTGACAATGTCTTATTTTTTGCTTTGTATTTTTTTTTTAACTTTTCCTTCGAGCCAATATTGTCTTCTATCTCTAACCTCGTTATATATTCCGACATGTGATCCATCTCTTATTCCCTTGCACTTAATTATTCTATTACATGTATTACGTATGCATATATCTATATATATATATATATATATGTACACACACACACAATATGTACACTCGTATTCATATTCTTGGATCTTAAGAGTTGACAACGTTGTAAAAATGAATATATTTATCACTATGAAATGCATATACATTTGATATTAAGATACTATATAACATGTTTATAAGTAGAAATCATATATTTACATATATATATATATATATAGAGTTTATTAACGCTAAAACAATACATAAAAATCCAACGGAAATTAAAAAGAAACGGATCTGAAGTAGGGATTTTTTTTTCGTCCTTTTGTTTCTTTGAAAAAGAACGAATTTATGATAAATTTGGTCGACGTTAAAGTTATACCAAACGGACGGGTTGTAACAAAAAGCCCACTAATGTTAAGTCTCATCACAGCCATAGGATGTGATATATATATACACGGGCGCGTATATATATATATAAAGGGATGAATTGATAGAATTAGAAACATTATATTTAATATATATGAAAGTGAAGTATAATGAATTTTGTAATTCCACCGACATGGAATTTTAAACAGTTTGAAAACCGCGTATCAAACCACCAAAGGATGAAGAAAATTGAACAATTACATATATACATACACATATATGCAACATTTCTATAATTCTGATGATCATCTTATCGTATTCAAACATATAAAGCATCGAGTCATCATTTCTCGTTTAAATCAACACCCACAGACACATATACATGCATTTGTATGTAGCCTATATGTGTTAAGTGTGTGTGTGTTCTTACACCTCAAACCGCGTTTCTTGTTTGATCATTCTCTCCATCTTTGGATTCATTTTGATATTCTTTCCTATATATATATATATATATAAATACACACTATAGGTGGAGAAATCATGAAGTAATAATACTGCAATCTATACGTATAATGATACTATGTTTATTTCCGCACCATACAAAAAAACATAGAAAAACGAAAAATATACATTGTGAAATGGTGGAGAAGAGAGAGAGAGAGAGAGAGAGAGGAAGCTGTCACCTCATTTATTTTGTTTTCCTACCATATAAAACAAAATAGTAAAAATATCAATTTCATATATAAATTTTTGATCCACACATAACATCAAACAGAAAACATAAAACAAACGATTTTTTAAAAAGCTAAAGTTTAGAAGCGACATAAAAATTTAAAGCTTGATCTTAAGAATAATCATGACCAAATTTTAGTATAGTTTTAAAATATGATGATTCATTGTATACCAAAAAAAAAAACTTTATAAAGAATTGACTGATTTTTTTTTGTAAAAATAATCTGGTAAGGAAAAGGCCTTTTACAATCACTACACCCACGAGGAGCAGACTCTGTCGGTGGTGGCTCGGCCATATATGATTATAATATGTGTGTGTGTTGTATATATATTGAAAATAAAAACAATAAAAGAAAGCTTTAAGATGATTTTTTTGGATGTTATTTGGGTTTATTGATTGGCCCATGAAAATGAAGGTGAAATCTTTGGACATTGCACATGAAAATGAAAGGCCCAAACAGTAAAGGAGGTCCATTCAGTTGATTAATTACCAAAAGAGGGCAAGACGGTGTGAAAGGAAAGGAGCTTTACGTGTACTACTACTACTACTGGTTACACAATACAACATGACAACAAAGACAGTCTCTGCCTCCGCAAACAAAACGCCAAAAACACCCGAAAACGTAGAGACACGGCCATTAAAACAAAAAAAAAAAAGAAACTCAGCCTTTTCCGACATTTATCGCTGAACGGACAAACTCATCGCATTGTGTAAATCCGCCGGACAACACATCAGCCAAGACGTCGACGACATCAAACGCTTCCTGAAGATCGGTTGAAGAGTTCATGTCGTCGAGCCACGAGAGCATCACTTTCGAGAAACCCGCCATTTCTTTCACATTCATCAATTTCTCTTTCATCACTATCTCCCATGCTTCGAGCTCCCCCCCGCCCACCGTTGTTCCCTCCTTTTTGTTCGGATCAACGGTCGATGGTTTCTTGACCTTGAAGAATTGTTGAAGCTGTTCGATCATCCCGGTGTATGCCAGTATCGGTCTGACAATGGAGAGAAGCTCGTCGCTTGAAAGAGCCTCTGGATTTACGGTTTTGCTCGAGGTTGCTGACTCTGATGATGATGTGCGACCATGCGTGTGCTGCATGAAAGTGTGGTAGATTCCGCGTTGGAGAAAGATGCGACGGTGTTGGAGCCACGATTCGTAGGACTCGGAGAGAAGCGAGTTCACCATCATGAACTGGACAGTCTCCTCGGTTCCCCCGGATGGCTGAGATCCAGGAGTTGAAGGTCGAGTGTCCCATGGCGTCGTTAGTGACGACGATGATGATGAGGACGAAGATACGTACAAGGACAAAGCATTGGCCATGTTGGTCCGCTGGGACAGTCCTCCCTGATCGAGAAGGTGTCGTGCCATTTGGATCATGAAGGGCAAGAAACGAGAATTGCTTTCCCTTCCTCCACCTCGGCTGTCTGCCCTGAACGATGCCCCGGTTGCAAATCGTGCCAGCATCTAAATAATGAAGAATAATAAGCAAAGTTCTTCATTCATGTATGAAAAAAAGATTTGGTTAAGAATGATAGACGTTACTTACCAAGACAATGTCATAGGTCAATAGGCGAAGTTTTGTCCCGTCGGCTCGACCCAGTGCAGTGAGATTATCCCAGTACTGGTCGACGTAACGTACATATTGTGCAAGCGGAACAGATGGGCCTCTCACGGGGAAGAGAGAATTGCAAAGAGATTCGTTGTTACGTAAGGTAGCGCCTTCCCACTCTTTCTTTGGATTTCTCAGAGCAGCATCTGCTCTCTTTGCTTCCTGGTGGCATTGGAAATGAATAATGTTGAAAGAGCTCACGGTGGTGTAAACGCATTCTCCGCCGAGGTTTACACGTTTGCTGTAAGAGTAGACTCCCAATAGATCAGTGGGTCTCAGTTTGTAGCCTTCTCGGCACACCATGCAAGCTAAACCATCCTCTTCTTCCTCTACGTCCTCGAAACCTTCGAGAATCGGCTGCGACACCACAATCCGTTCGCCTCCATGTTCTTGACGCATTCCGAGTCCCTGAAACAGATTGAAAGCAAAAAAAAAACTTAGTCAACGTTGCAAACAGATACGAATTCATCATCGTTTCTCGATCGAGAGAAACCTAGGAGATTTTTAAAGGTCGGACTAAAATGAAAATACCTGCAGAAGCTCCTCCCTCTTTCTCAAAGCACGACGCCGCATTTCATCTTTGGTGGCATCACGTAGTGCACGGACCTTTTCTCCGAGATATCCATCTCCTTTTCCTTCCTTGTCGGCGAGCGTGTCCAGTAAGTTTTCAGCCCTTGCTCCAATCTCGTTCTCAACACAGACTCCTTCCATGGCGTGAAGTAAGGGTAAGATTCCTCCCTCGTAAATGCAAGTCTGCGTCGGCAAATGTCCCATTGACAAGCCTCTTAACATCGACAAAATCAAGGGAACCGAGGGAAGCTTAAGAGCTGATGGCCATTCGGCACTAGATTTGAATCCAGCTTGTCCCGTGACTGCGAAACTTTCCTTGAGGTGTTTGACAGCAACAGCTATTATGCCCTTCTCCAGAACTATATCCTTTAACCTCTCCCCACATGAACTCGTCTTGAGAGATTCCGAAACCCTTACGAAATTCTCCACAGTAAACTTCTGCTTCATTGCTTGCTGCGCAGTGCTCTCATCCTTGGGATTCTCCTCGTATTGTCTCTGAACTCGATTAAACTCAGCCCAGTCTTGCAGGTAAGGGTTGAAATGCTGTATAAGGGCTTCCATAGCTGCAGGCTCACCGTATGTTAAGTAAGGCAGGATTCTAGCAACCATTTCTGTGTTCCTCTGCTGTTTGTTTGATTTCTTGAGACCTGAAGGATGGCTTAGCCTTTCCAGGAACATAAGCACTATCTTCTTCGCCTGTTCCCATGTGCCCGTTTCCTCGTTAGTGACAGTCAAAGCACCTTGTGTGGCGCTGATGCTGTCGCTTTCGTTTGCTTCCAGCGTCAAACTTTCGACAATCAACAGAATGCCCTCGGCTGGCTCCATAGCATCTACAGAAAACGCTCGCCTAGCCGTTTCAAGAAGCAGGCTTAAAGCCCCTAGCCTCAATAGGGCTCGCCTGTTCTCTCTAATCTTGCAGCAATGGTTTAGGAGATTAAGAACTGCGTCCATCTCCTCTTGGTTGGATTTGAAATCATCTCGTAGATGCTGCAAAATCAAGTACTGTAAGTTCGAATCTGTGAACTAAACCAGCTTCATTTGAATACATTACTGGTTTCTTAGAAAGCCCTTTATCTTTCCTTGTAAACAAAAGAGCGAACAAAAGAGACTAGTCTTTAGCTAAAGTGTGAACAAAAATGCGATGAGAAATGAGCAATTAACATTCTAGTGGTTTGTCGTTTAAGAAGTGTGTACCTTGATCATATCAAGTAAAATTTCCAGACCACCATATTCACGGACTGCACCAGCTATTGCAAACTCAACCTCTGGATCTTGAGATTCTTCTCTATCTTCTTCCAACTCCTTGATCATAGGCTCAGTAGCTTCACCATCAAGTCCCTGCCAATATTGCAGTGTATCACTACCAGAATAAGACACAACACGAAGCGTGACGTATTTCATAGCCTATTGAACATTTAGAGGCATCTACTTAAGCAAAATCCAATTTTTCTTTTTTTCTTTTTTTGCATCATTATCCCCAGGGAAAGGTTCACTGGCACAGAGCGATTACAAACCTGAAGTCTGTATGTCACAGTCATAGGTGGGCAATCCCTGCTGGCAGCAGCAGCACTTGAAGCTACCAACGTGGAGTTGGCCAACACACTAGAAGATTGAGTATTTGATTTCTTCCAGACCTGCTCGTATACTTGTGCTATGCTCAGATCCAGTGAAATGATGTTCCCAGCTACAAGTAACTCCATGCCATAGTCATCTTCCAGTAGACCTAACATGTCCAATTGCTGACAAATCTTATTTTTAACATCCCGCATCAGTGGGCCGATTTCAGCACTGGAATATGGATTTCTTGTCATCGATCCCCTGATAAACTCCTCTTGCGTGTGAGCCTTGTTTAGGATCAGCATGTATACAGCCTCGGGCTTTGATGGACAGATCAGATTACAAAGCTGCTCAAGAATAAACTGCATTTAAAATTGAAATGGTCAAAACTTAGTACAATTGAAAAGAAACAGAATAATATAATCAGATAGACCTGATATGAGCTCCCTCAAAAAGGAAACTAAGCAATGCTAACTTAACTCCTGAAACTCAAGCCAAAGGCAAGATAAAATACTCTTTCAGATATCTAAAAAGGAGAAAATAAGATCCATATGGAGTGCAGCTCCATGGGTAACTAAAAATTCACTGGACACATAAGTATGCCACAGAGATTTTTTAAACGGCTAAACAATATGCAAGTACTCAAACGTGGTACATACTAATACTATAAAAACCACTACCGACATGTTTTTAAGACACATTACTGAAGATATTTTAGCTTGAGTAAAATGATGAATATCCTCAAGAAGAATTATAAATTGCAAAGGGGGGAAGGCGGTCTAAGTATAGATTCTTCTTACCAAACAGGTACGGCCTTTTTTCAACTCTGCATGGGTTTGCAGACCAGATACACATGCGCGGATAAACTGCCGCTTGTTTTCGCTGCTTTCTAGCAGCAGGCTATCAAGGAGATCTTTCAGCAGCCTATTGCAATCATTAATCAACTTTGTCTTCTGCACTATCAACCCACGGATGACAATGAGGGCCTCCAGGACATGTGACAGCAAATTATCTCTCATGAATCTGCACCATCATCATCATCGAATTATATAAATCTGAATAAGATGAGTGATCAATTAGGAATAACTTCTAAAAGACTTACCTAGATCGAATATTTGAAACTTCTAAAAACTTTCCAAGGAGCTCTATAAGCTTGTGAAGGCTAAATCCCTGAGAAATGTCAATCCGAAGACTCCTTTCTAGAGATTCAATGTTTACCACCTCCTGGGAGATCAATTTACAGATTGCTGTCAGACAGCCCCGAACAGTCAGGAACAGACGAGCATCTTCTGATTCAACCATTTTGAAGAGTAATTCAAAGTACTCTGCACTGCTTTCGCCTGCCGCAAGGGTAGCGGGTAGCAAACCCATCAGCAAATTTAACAGCCTGTAGCACCTTGGGGAGCTTTGAGCACAAAGTAAACTGATCAGCGTGCACATCTCTGACCTGATAGATTGAGAACAAGCACTAAGAACAACCTCTGAGACCCAAGGCCCAAGTTCAAATGCCTTTAAGCCACCTTTAGATGTTTTACAAGTGCGCCGTTTCCACCTAAGTGCATACTTAAGTGCCAAGAAATCTGATCTGTGGGCTCGAGACCTTTGGCTGGCACCTCTAATGGCCTGAGATGCTTTATATTGCCTCCTCACAAAGTCGAGATATGATGCTCCCTTCTCCCACTCCAAGTAACTAACCAGTTGAATATCTTGTGTCTTCTGAGACGCATCCAGGTTATTCTCTATCGTTTCTGAAGATTTTGAGATGCCAGCACCATTCTCATCCTTACCTTGAGCAGTAGTAGATTTTCCTATGGTTTGCTCTTTCTCAGCTGCATCTGGTTTCGGAGGTGTACATGCCTGAGATATAATCTTAAGGCAAGGAAGAATTATGTGCTCCGATATAGCAGGATGTTTAGCGCCCAATTTTATGGAAGAAAATAGCAGCTGAAAAATAAGGCGCAGCCTTGACTCCCAGAATTCATCAGGAAGTGAGCACACTTCTGAAAGCAAAGACATTTCTTCACGAGTGGCAAGCGCAATGTCCATGGAACGGTGATGTTCAAGGCAGTACATAATTTTCTTCTGTATTAAGTTGTTCAACTCGTTCACCGCATTCAGATCTCCCTCGGCGAAAGTACACAGGGCAGCCCTAGCTTGAGAACGGGCTGCTTTTGGACCCTGGTGAATATTATTCTCGAACAACTCAGACAGGATACCTGATGCAACAAGCTGTTTCCTGGAGCTCAGATGCTTCGCTAGCACCTGTAGAATCTCAAGACACTGGGTGACGAAAGTAGTGGCACAGCCATAACAATTGTTTGGAGTCCTTGAGACTGTACATCTCGAGGCACTTGAAGAAAAATTCGAGTTTTTCTGATGCAGGTAAACCATCAAAACTCGGCGAAGCCCTTGCAGTGTTTGAACACTTTTGCTTACAGAATCAAAAGCGGCTTTGCACTTCTCACCATACAGTACACCCAAAAGAGCAATTTTGCGGTTTATCTTGCACGAGGGGCCAGGTAACGACGCCATCATTTGCTGGACAGTATCCTTGTGCTGTGAATCCATTTCACTTTCGCCAATGCTTGATACTATTTTCAGAAGTGGCTTCTTGAAACCCAAGAGTTGCTGATATCTCCTATGGGCATTTTCTGACTCGGCTTCTATAGCAGCCAATCCCCTCTTCATATCTTCATCATTTTCCATGTTATCAAATATGAAACTCGGCTTCGCCATGAAGTTAAACTCAAACCTCCCATACTTGCTATAGCCACACTCATTACAAAGAAATGAATCCAAATTTTCATAGTTGATGTTGCGGCATTGCCTGCACTGATAAGCATTCTCATGACAGTTGCCGCAGATGCCATGCTTATCAGTAACAGGGCGGCTGCATCTCGGGCATTGCAAAGGTTCAAGAGACAAAGCCTGAAGATTCTCATAGAAAGAATCCAGCTCAATCATGAAGTTACAAGCAGTTATAGGAATAGGGAATTCAACCTTCAGCTCGGTTTGGTTGAAAGCGAGATGGCAACTCTTGGCACGCTTCCACAGTGACCAGTTGTTTTTAAGCTCTGATAAATCCGAGACGGGTCGGTTGTTGTAATACAAATTTAGGACTTTAACCGACTTTGACTTGCGTGCATCATGAACATTCATGGTCACAGATTGTATGGTGTAACTCCCAGCGCATTTCACAATGATGCGGTTATCAGTAAACTTTGTCTCTGACTTCAAACTTTCAAGCTTCATTCTGCTATATGGCACATCGGGAGAACTGCAGGCAACACAAGGTTCACTCTCTAGATAATAACCATCGAATTCCACGAGATTACTCAGAGTGCTGTAAATTCGAGAATTTGGATGATTAGCGATGAGTTCATTTTGAGAATGAAGCGTCTCAAAAATACACCTAATAACATCAGGGGTAAGGCAACGGTCCACAAGTTCATTAATTGCTGGCTTTGTGTTGTTTTCAGGAGCCTTTCCAAGCAACAAAGTGACAAGTTCTGTATACTCAACAATATTCTGACCATATGCCGGCAGGTGCCTCACCTTCTGCAAAAGAACCGCTAACAGACTTTCTTTAAATGATGGCCTTCCATGATGCCACAAGCCATAAATGGCGGACTTTGCCTCCATGCGAACAGCACTCGAATTCCATTCAAGCAGAAAAATATCGATAAATTGCCTCAAGACATCTCCACCCTTTGCATTGAAAATGTCTACAACCCCTTCCATATCCACATATAACTTTTCCGAACCAGAGTCATTTCCATCTTCACCTTTCTTCTTCTTTTTCGACTCCAGCGACTGAGATCCTAATCGGTTTGAACCTGTGCCTACATCATTTGTCTCAGCTCTTTGTGAGGAGCTGCTCACATCCTTTCCAGAATAAAAGGCCAAATTGAGGAGTTTAAGAGTCTGGATAACAGATTCTTCTGCAAAATGGAATATCCCATTCAGCAGGAAAGACAGAACATCTCCATGCCGGAGACAGTACTTCTGCCAGTTCCGAGGCCGTGCTGCGGCAACTTCGCCAATTGTAGAAAGAGACCTCACAATCTTGACACTCCTTTCATATGAAACGTTATTTTCAATACCACCAGATTTTTCAACATGCTTGTATAGTCTTTTTACTTCGTTGGAAAACTGCCAAGAATCCCGGACACTATAGTACTGAGTTTTGCTTCCACAGATATGCAGAAATAGCCTTCTTGTGTATCTTCTGACAAATGTTGTATACGGATTATTGATATAACTGCACAAAACATCCTGGAACCCATCCAACTTCAAATCTTTAGAAGAAGCTGACTTGCATACCTTTTCTTTGTCTCCCATCTTCTCTTGTTTTTCAGGTCTAACAAGGGTATAGACTAAACGAAAAACATTCTCCAACAGCAGCCTGTGATAGTCCACAAACATATCCGTACGATGAGCTTTTGCATAAGAATCCGAAAAGAAGGGTGAATAGTTACCCGCAGATAAATCTCGCCGGACTGTTAACAAGGCTCCACAACCAGAACCAGAGCTTGACCCATGTCCACATTCAGCACTAGCAGTAGGGGACTTGAAAACGTGCACCAGCTGTTGAAGTATGTTCATTAGATAATTAACAAACTGTTGGGTCCTTAAGCGACCGGAAGCTCGGAGCAGCTGAGATGTAAAGTCTTCTCTTTCTTGAGCATCTAAAGACTGAGAAACGATTGAAATGGAGCTCTGGGCACTCCTCCGATCATGTGCATCTGTACTTCCACTTGCTCTGGAACTAGTACTGTCACTGCCAGGCTGGTGCCAATTTCGAAGCATCAAGGTGAAAAACATAAACACAAGGATCACAACTTCCCCGAAGGAAGAGCGAGTTCTAGCAGAAAATGGTTTGCTGAGGTCGATTTCTTCCAAAAGCCAGTTAATCAACCTTTCTAAGCTTATGTCTCCAGGATTTGAGCTATCCATGAAAGCTCCACCAATGGCAGATGATAATCTGTAAAGTAATTGCATGACAGGGACAGCTTGAACACCAGACGCTGTCCCCATCCATCCGCTCAATTCTTCGAGAAGCTCAGACAGAATCAAGGAATTCACAGCACGCTTTGAAGCCGAGATGGAGACAGGATCGGTCATTGAAGCAGAAAATTCACCAGACTCACCCGGTTCTAAGACATGGATCGAGGGAGCTGAAGTTTGCGAGCCACTACTAGTTATTACCGGTATTAGGTTTGAAACACCAGCTTCATCAGCAGAAAACTGGATTTCGTTGGTGTCTGCACCTAGTGATTCCACGTCAATTGCAATTGCTGTCATAGGATGATCTCTAGTGTGAGGCGGTGGTAGACGATCTGCATCTAACACTTCATAGCATGCCTCACATAAATCAAAATCTGGACAGACAGTGCAGTGCCACCTTCTCCTCAGTATTGGAACGGTGGAGCAGCCATCACAACAGTAATGGACAGATGAAGTTATTGAGTCCTCCTCGATCATTACTTGTGCACTGCCACCCCCTGATCTGATAGGCATCGCAGGAGTTGTAACATTATCTACCGCATCATCTGTGGTCAACATTGTTTGCTTTGGGAAAGGAACCTGAAGTAATCTTGACGATATGGCTAAGCTGTAAAGAAATTTAGTCAGATTTGAGATGCAAATTTAGGAAAACTGGATATACAAACCATACCTACGGAATAACATACCTGCTAGAAGTTTGCACAGCTTCATTAGGGAACAATATAAGTTTTTTCAGTAACCGAACAGCAGGAGCTACAGAATGCATATCAGCATCCTTCCCTTGAGATGCCAAGCACTCAGCATAGCTATAGATCAATTCAACGGAGGACATCACAATGTTATTCATTGTTTGGGTATCAAGGGGCTCGGATTCCAAAATTCCCCACAGCACGTGCATCAGACTATCCACTACCTCGGAACCTACAAATCATACGCATGTTAGAATAATTACACAACCTCACACCAATGATGACATTATTCAGTACGACGGATGATCTACCATACTACCTAATTCACGGTAAAAGGAGATATTTGTGTTTGTACTACACATACAAGCAGATACAGTAACCATACTAACATATATTCATATATACCATTCATCTGCAGAAAGCTGGAAAAATTTGATTTTCGTGTCAAGGCAATTTTAGACACTGCCTGCATCTGAGCACTGAATTCTTTGACAATCCAACCCCCAGCACCGGAAACACCCAAACTTGAAGAAAGAATAGAGGTTGCCTTGATGACTCCAAGAAGCCGCATGGTGTCTTTGACCTAAAACAAAAGATGAGTCAGAAAAGGACTCAAAAACACAAATGTATCAGAACATGCAATCAAATAACACATGATATTTTTTCAAATGAACAGTACTTGGTAGTACATCTCCTTTTCTGGAAAAACAGAATGCAAAACACGGCAAGCTGCAGCTTGTAACAAGGTTTCCCTGTCGCTCTCAAAGATTGCTTCCAGTAGCTGCTTGCACTTGACTTCGCTAAGCTTCACTTCTTGTGGTGCCCTACAAACTGAATAAAAATTTGCTAGAAGCTTGAGACCATCTGCAAAAACTTGCTCCTGAATGGAAGCAGAATGAATTGAAGCTCGCTTCTTTCTAGATCCTGCAACCAGGGAACCGCAACCAAGGACACGAGCTTCCATATCTAGCACAGCTTCCATTTTCTCTTTCCAGCCAAATTCATCTTTAGCGCGACCATATACTTCAAGTGAGTCTATTCTTGGCAATGCAGTTCCACTAAAGGTTGGCCCAACAGCGATTACGAAATCTTCATCAGCCAGAAGAGATTCAGCCACTGTAAATGGAATGTCATACCAGCACCGCATGCCCTCATCCATCTTTATCAACCTCTGAAAAATGGTAATCTCAGAAGGTATAGAGCTTGCCGATGTATTACCCACATGCACACGGAGGCCAACCATAACAATATCAGGGTTTGGATTGGAGACTGATATCTGCACATGAAAAGGAGAATAAATAACGAAGATGCCTCAAGGAAAAGAAAAAAATACTAAGTAACTAGTCAGAAGGGCCATTGAATCATGGAGACAAGCAAAATCACAACCAGATACCCATATAAATAACAATTGTATAGTCAGGACACTACAAAACCCCAACAATTAAAAGGTAGTACAGGGATATATAACTTCAGAAATACTACTAATAGTAGATGAAAGGGCATGTGACAATGTGAGAATTTTCAAGAAGTGTTAAGAGGAACGCCAGCCATACCTTGAAGCCCATAGGACTAGGGCTCTCAATAAAGCCATCCTCAGATGCCAAATTCTGTTTCGCTCCTTCAGAATCACCATTTCTAATAACATCACCACCAAGTCTAACATCTGCTGAGATACAGACTGTTTTTTCAAAGAAATCAAGGGGGAAATCTGGCTTTGCACCGGCATATACTTTATTACTAAGGATCTTAGATCCCAACTTTTTCACTTTTTCAGCAGTGGCACTTGAACCTGAATCAACTCCCATCAGAACATGAGAGTATATCTGAAGGCTGCCATCATCATGGAGAACAAGACAATGGATATTGTCTTTTGACAGAGGTTTATATGCAGTCATTCCAACTATAGGGGAAGATGATCCTGTAGGATGACGGAGATTCTGTGCACATATTTCATCACCTCCCATGGATAGAACTAATGCAGTATTCGACTTCAAGCTGGAGAAGCAAACAAATAACCCACTACCAACCAACAACTCTGTCCAACGATGCAGTCCAGCCGCCCTTTGTTTACCATCTGGTTCCTCTTCAAATATGCAAGATGTCTCTGTGAAGTATGTTGCGTCCAGGCTAAGCCTACCCACTAGAGAAGTTCCATCCAGATAGGATATGAAAAGAAGTCGATATGTTGGAGAGAAATAAACAGATGAGCCCTTTCCCTTAACATCCTTGCCCCTAATCTCAATGATTTCCTTTAGAGGTGTTGCCCCGGCATTTTCACCCAAAGATAATTCAAACCGATACAGGTTCCCTTGTTCGGAAAGGACAATAAGAATTAACCTCCCACGAGAAGCAACAAAAAGGGTTGCATCCACAATCATGCCATTTGACAAGGTGAAGTAGTGTGTTGGACTGATGTTATCCAGGGATAAATCGTAAATCTTTACGAATTTATTGGTTACCACCATTAGTTGAACCTGTGAACCAGGAACCCAGTCTATTCGCCTGATGTATGCATCTTCTAGGACAAGCTCAACAGCAAGCCTGTCAGTCACTTCACCTCTATGATTCAAAGTAAGTATCTGGCAATCTTCAAGACCTGCTACAGCAAGATAACTCTCCACAACTGAGTTGAAAGAAAGATGCACGATCTCAAAGCGAACAATATTCCTGGAAAGCGGTTTAACGTTGGCCTTGTCTGCATTTATGGGTGCAATTGTGGCTTGTCCTACCAGCTGTCCAACATCAAATATGGAAACTTTATCACCTTCTCCAACTGCAAGGCGACCTCGAACACTGACACTGAGCAGTGACTTAACAAGAGAGCCACTGGCTATATGAGATTTAAGGTCCTTAGCATTCGCATAGTCAGCCTTGATTTTCAGGTCTAGTGATCCGCTTTTATATGCTTTTTTCAGCTGCAAAAGATCAGTGACAAATAAAAGAACCTTGTCTTTTCCAAGACTAACTTGCTTATCTTTTGAAAGGCCAGAGTCTCGTTTTCCAGTTATGGACAGCAGCAAAGAAGAGCAAAGTTCCATAACCCGATCCTCTATGCCAAGCTCTTCCAGTAGTAATGGCATCCGATGTTGAATTTCTTTAGGTATAGATAACACATCACAGTTTTCTTCCAAGGTGCCATCTTCATCCAAATCTGAATCACTTTCTGCAAGCTGGTCTGCATCCTCAGAAAAGGGTAAAAAAGACTGAAAAGTACTCACACCACGAGCAGGAGTGCTTCCAGTGTTGGTGACCTTGCGGGGCTTCGAGCACTGACAACTGCTACCCCTAACACCCCCAGCCCCACAGTCACAGAAAAACCGACTTGATCGTGAATAGACAACACGGTGTCCTCGGTGGCAAACTTTTGCGCAAACAGAACAACAACCCTTTGATACAGTGAGGTCACAGGTGTAACAAAAATACCAGTGCTGTTCAATGAAATTGCTACCACTGGAAGTAAATGTACAAACTTTTGAGGCAAGAGATCTCTCACTGTTACCATCTTCTTCATCTTCCTTGTCTAAGCTGGCTACTTCACCATCAGATGTTCCATCATCTTCATCTTCATCAACAGAAGTCACATCACATTCAAGTGGTGTGGAGCCCCCTTCCTGATCAACTGAGAGAGTTAATGCTTGAGATTTCTTCACTGATCCTGCAGGTTTTGGAACTGAATGAACTGTTGCAGTATTCTTATTGCTGGAGTTTCCACGGGAAATCTCTCCATATCTTGGAGAACCACAATTTCTTAACAAAGTGGCCATCACACTGAAAAGAAACTTCAGACCTGAAAGCAGCTTTTCATTGCCTGCGAGCTTCTCCATCAGTTTTAGAGATCTCTTCAAAAGCAACTTCATCAGGTTTTCTTCCCTAGCGAGCTGAAGAACAAAATGGAAGTGTGACACGGCCATGTGGATATCAAATAACAGAAAAGCAGTATCGAGGGAGATCAGCATGGCCTCAAATAAATGATCCTGTAATTCCCTACTAGATGAGTCAGATGTCGATGACACAAGACAGTTAATAAAATTCATTGCTGCTTCTCTGAAAGGAAGAGAATTTCCTCTTGCCATCTTTTTTCCATCTATTGCCTCTACTAGGGAACCCAACAGCCTTCTCTCCAGCCACCCAGACAAATTTACCACGTCCATGTCAATAAATTTTTGGCTTATCCTTCTCCTGAGATCAGAGCACAACTCTGCAGACAAGATATCAACAAGGAAGTTGAGTACTTTTGTGTTTACCAATTCCGACGAACAGTAATCCAGTGAGTCAATCAAAACAGACAGATCACCACGTTGCAACTGATAGAATTCGCAGGCATGCTTAGAGATTGCATCTACCCCAAGATAAAATTTAAAAATATTAGACCTTGAAGAATCTTTGCTAAGTTTATCCATAACATCCACAATCTCAGTAATCACTCTTTCAAGCACATTGCTGTCATTTATCTCCCCAGCACTGATATCTGTTACAAATCCTTCCATGTCTTTCAGAAGGAACAACTGGGAAAAATCTGGAAGCTCCAAGGCAGCATATACGTTTTGGAGGATCTCCTCACACTTCCCATGCAAGCTTTCAAAGATTTTATCAAACTTAATAATCATGACAGCGCTAAGCAGCTCCTTTAGCATGCTACGATCAGCAACGACTTTAGCCATTGAGTTGTCCAGCTTGAACAAACCAAATATTGACAGTAAAATGGATCTTATGCTTAGAGTACATGAAAGAAGAGCTGCGCTAGAGATCTGAAGACTACTTGGAAAGCCATGTACCATGGATTCCCATAAAACTTTGCATAAAATACCCAAACCTCTTCTATCACCAACTGCATCAAGTTTTGACAGGTACAAAATGCATTGAAGATGGAGAGAACTGCCACCATTTTTCTCAAATTCAGCCTGGAGACTTCTACCAAACTGGGTATGCTTAAGAAGTAGCAAGAATGGTGGACTACTAGCATGGTCATTGCCAGTACTGGAAGTTGCAAGGAAAGCTTTCTTATACACTTGTAAATATTTGCTAAGTAATGATGACAGCATTCTGAGCAATTCTGCAGTATCACCAGCTTCCATCAAGCAAGATACGATGCCTTCTGCAGCATCACTGTACTCAGCGTCAACCAATGTGCATTCCCTCCAGAATGAATCAATTTCTGGACATGATTTTTTCTTGCAATAGCCCCAGATGCCAGCGTTCAGAAAATACAATAGAAGGGAGAGCCAGGATCCTTCCCGGATAAAATCCCACCCCAGGTCATCAACCCCTTGCCCAGTGGCTGCATGAAGCTGATAAAGAACTCTGATAAGGATGCTTCTCAGCTCAACATCTTTAACAGCAACATTGGAGTGGCCTAACAGCAAATGACTGGTGCGGATGAGGTCCTCAATGCTAGATATGTCCAAATTATTGTAGTCAACATTGAATGAAGGCTGACTATCCAATGCACAGCTAACAAGAGAAATATCCCAAGAAAGCATGAAAACATATCTTTCAACTATCAATTCCTCCACATTTTGTGGCTTTTTGCCCTTCCACAGCCCCAAAATCTGGAACAGAGTTGCAGACAGATCTCCCCAATTCAAGCATAGGGGTTTCGCAGCAGCCACATCCATTTGCACTCCAGGAGGATGGGGGACAGCGTCAATCATCTCACTGATCAAGCTGGCCAATGACTCCTCCTCTGCCCATGATTCAATTATATCCTTCGCTACAAGAGACACCCACGAAGATGATTGATCACCATCACTAACATGCAAATTAGTGCCAGTGCCACGAACTTCCCTCAGTTTTGACCGTACATCCAGAAGCAATGATGTCGGACATGTGCTTGGATAATATAACATATGGCGCAATAGCACTAACAACCTCGAGATTAGCATTGCCCAACAGGACAACTGAGGGCCACAAAATACTCCTGATGGGACATTAATCTTATGCAGGCATGAAGCAATAAGATTTGACAAATTAGTCTTTTCTGCTTCAGCTGATAAATGGAATGCCATTAGAACAATCTGAACATGGAAAGCCGAGGGAAGACCCACAGTGAACTCATTGGGATTCAAGCCTCCAGAACAGATTTCATTAGCCCTCTCAGCAATGAAAGTAACAAAACCATCACAAATTTTGGTTCTCAACTGTGCCCCAGCCAAGCCTGGCCTACAAAAAATTGTGTGAGCCAGCAGCGCCAAGGTCTTATCGGTATATTTGAAGTTACCGTTTTCAACTACCAGAATTTGCCGAATAAGGTAAGATTCAAGAGAATCGGACAGAGCATGGGTTCTCAGCAGATTGAATAACAGCTCGGAACTGATATACCCAGACTTTCCCTCTTCTTGGAGCATACAACCACTATCAGAAGCCTTGTCTTCAAGACAACAGAAACTACAGCTCAATATATTGAGCAGAATATCGATGTGACACACATCAAGCGCTTTGCATCCATCTTCATATACTGTAGGAAGCCATTCATGACAAAATATGCATGTTTTAAGAAAGCTCAGCAGTTCCCTAGCAGCTTGCAACGGTAAATTGTTGCTGACAGCAACTGGTGGTTGATCATATGGCTCGATGGAACACAGAGAGCGACTACACTCGGAAAACAAGTTTCCAAACAGGGCATCATCTTCATGAGATATTTGACTTTCAACTTCCGCAATACTATTGGATCTTAAGGAACTGATTCTCTCCACCTTCGGCCGCAATTTTGCGCCTTCACGGTGAAGGAAATAAACAAGATGAAAGAGATTGTCCACCCACAGACTTGATGAAGGAAATATCAGCTTCATTATTTCCTCTGCAGTAAAGCACTTGTGCAAGAGAATCTTTTCCTGCTGCAGATGACAATAAGCAAAATCAACAGATGCATTCGCATTGTCACAGTTGAATTCTGGACCAAACACCTTCAGATCTTGGATATGATATGCTTGTCTCTTGATATCTTGAATGAGTCTGCACATGTAGATAACAGTCCGAGGGAAGTAAGCAAGTGGAGATCTCACATTACATGAGGATGCATCATACCTCCACACTGAGGCATCTAAACTCCTCACCAGACCAGCAGCTATACATGCTTCAACATTCTGGAAAACATTGTTCTTGCCAAAAATATTTTGGAGAAGACTAAGAAATCCTTCAACCAAGGCAAGAGAAAGGCTCTCAATATTACCCTCTACAGCAGCGTGGTTCGAGAAATCTAAGAAAACTCCAAACAGGTTAGGTAATGCATCTGCAAATAAAGCTACCGCTCGCAGCAATGCAGCATCATTTTCTATACCATGGACATCTTTGGAAAGACTTCCAAGCAGCTTCAGAATTCTTAAGCAGAAGGATAGTCTATCAAGAAGATCTGGATCAATCATCTTCTCATCAAATCCGTCGGGCAATTGGATGAGTTCTTTACAGACCATGATCAGACGCCGAACACAACCGAGGTGAACAACTAACAGGTGTCGTGTCAAAGGATTCAGCTTTCTCAGATCTTGGGGAAAAGAGGGCTTTCCTACTAATTGAATCTGGCCATCAGGTTGAACACATTCAGACATTAACTCTATGAGAAGATGGTCTACTGGTTTGTCTTCATTTGAACACCTGCCACCTGCTTGACAAGTGAAAGAGCGTTAAGGGCATCTTGTCTCCAAACTTAAAGAAAAGTACAAGGAAGCGATTCATTTAGTGAAGCTTAGAAAGGATACCTTGAAAAGTACATTGAACAAGGCTATATGGCTCAATATCGTCACGCAAAACAGAAAACCCTGGCCATAGATCTGCAGCATGATCAGGATTGACAGCTGGCAATACATCATAATGTTTCTCATTTCCATCAAAAGAGGCAATCTCCAATACTGTGTCAATGTTTATCTGAACCAAACAAAAAAATTAGGCGAAATATTAGCAACTAGAGTTCAAAACATAATTAAAACAAGATAAAAAAATATCAGACATGAAGTCGAATTTAAGTCACCAGGCAGTATTACGCAAGAAGGCACTAGCTAGATTCTGCAAATGATTTTGGTAGAAAATATCAGAAAAAGGACACACGACATGTAAATCACTGAAACCTAGCCATCAGAGTCAACAAACACATGAAGACTTTCACAACAAGTTGAAATTCCATATCAGAAAAAACACTGTACAAGAAAGTTTCCACAAAGTACAAATAACATCATTCCAGAAGGTTCCATCTATGTGCAAGAAATATCAACCTTCTCAATTGTAAGCGTTTTCCAATCTAAAACTAATTTACTCAGTAAAACTCAACAGCTAACCCAAACTATAATTGTTGTCGACAGATCTCTGAACAAGGCACAATCAGCATTAGCCTCACCACTAGTGTAGATTTAGCAGACCAAATAAACTACAAACCTCTTTCCTCAGATCACTTCGCCTGAAGTCCAACTTCTCCAAGAAACAGAGAGAAAATTCCATAATTTCTTGAGTAACACCCAAAACTATCGGATCTACCTGGTCCACTGAGACACCAAAAACCACGAAACCGGTCAGTATAACCACAGCATCCCGCAGATAGGTCAGAGCAACAGTTGTCTACTGCTAAAACTAAATCTAAGACATTACAATGGTGAATCTTTCGGTCGAACAACATGCATGTAAAAGAAACAGACTGAACCATATAGTCACATAAAAGTGAATAACCTTAACCTGAGATAAGATAAACCCAAGAACAGAAGATCAAAGTTACCATCTCAGAAACCTACTTTACTTTCTTCCGGGAAGGTAAACTAGATCATTTTCCATCTCCCAGTGAGTAGCACAAGTTCTATAAAGCTAAAGACAAAAGACTGCAAAGCCCAGAATGCCCAAACGGACTATAATCTATAGATTAGCAAGTTCACTAACATAGTCGTAAGTCGTATACCATTTCCATCTCTTCTCCATCGACCCAGTATACATTAACAACGCGGACCATATCTCCTAATAGCATGAAAACAATCACTAGAACCACTACCCTTTGATCAGCATCTAAAGCTAGATCGCAGTCGATCGGTCTTACTAGCGGAACACTCACAAAGACCAAGTCACGACGAACTCGGTACCTGATAGAGATCGAAGCAGGAGAAGGACCGCCCGTGCGATGGAAACAGCAGTCTGAACCTGCGAATCCGACCAGTCCTCCAACCGTAGCTTACCGGAGTCATCATCTCCGCCGATCGGAGAGACGGCGTCACGGAGGATAAGATAGAAAAGGCGGAGACCGCGCTTGATCGAGTCATCGGATCGGAGGCGGCGAAGAAAGAGATCGGCAGATGCAGGCGAGGGTAAATCACTCTCCTCGAAGAGAAACCGGCAGAGATTCGCCAAGTCTTCTGCCATCTCCGGAGAGGCGTAGAAGCACGGCGGGAGAAGCAATGATGAAGATTAGCTGGGGGAAAGACCAGAAAGGGGAAAAGAAGGGTTTATGGTAAAAGAATCAAGAAAATGTTGAAGAAAAGACAACCCAAAACTGTGTAGAGAGGGGAAGGTTGCTTTGATATTATTCGAGCAGCAGAGGGATGTTTCTGTCATTTTACTTTAAATGTCCACCGCCATATTGAATCGAGTTTGTAAAATTGTATTACATGAAATTATCATTATTATTTTAAAATCCTGTATTTAAGATATTATCTTTTGTTTTGTTTTTTTGAAGATCACTGATAATTAAAACTCAAAATAAAAACTTCATTCGATTATCCAAAAATCTATAAAATTCGTATATGTTCAATAAAATGGGCTGAGCCCAACCCAGTATGGATCTCTTTGAGTTGGGCCCGACTAAAAGCCCATCTCTCTACAACCCACTGTGATTTTTTTTAATTTGACAGTTTTTACATTTATATTTTGTTTGTGTTTTTTATATGAAGAGCAAAAATTTAAGTTACTCAAAATATTCACACGTTATTATTAGTAATAAATTATTCAAGAATTTCGAAACCGTTTGTAAGTGTTCTCATGTACGGAAAAACAAGTATGGATATTTTTTTGGCTGTAACAAATAAAATAAAATATAAGATAAATAACTAGAAATAGTAATTGTCTTAATACGGTTTCATACACAGTCAAGATGCCAAAAAAGATTTTTTAAATCCTTATAAATCTATATATATTAATAATTGAGTTTAAAATATTGTGGTGAAGCCACCTCATCTCCATATCATCATCTATGTGGCATATTTTAATTTTTTATATGGAATGAAAACAATCCTTTACATGGAAGTGCATTCGGTGACATTGGTTTTTTACTAATTGATGAAAATGTCCGTTATAATGTTTATTATGATAAGCATTCTTAATTTCGCGATTTTCAATTTTGCAGGCTGATGTTGTTGAAGGAAAAATTTATCAACACAATGCAGAAAGTTATAAGAACATAATAAATTGTATAGATATATTCCAAATAACCCATTTTAAAATTTTACCAAAAAAAACACATACAAGTTAACAGATAATAAATTTCGTATTTGTTTTACGACACATACTACTGTTACACAAGTAGATGCTACCAATTTCAATATTGCACGGAGAAATTTCGGATTCGTCCACACTGTGATTTGTTGGCATTGGCATTAAAAAAAAGATGACCTACTAGGTTTATGAAATATACTCAATTAATATATATATATATATATATATATATATATATTCATTATATTCTCTCATGTTGTAGATATTGTTGGAGTTATAGTCTCAGTATAAGGATCAAATTTACGATTGTCATCATCGACACAGAAAATCATTCTCCGCTTATTATTAAAAGAGTAAGTTTAGAACTATTACATCCCGTTGCACTTAATATCATTTTAACTACCCAATTATTTTTAATTCAACTAAATGTATTTTGAAACTAATAAACAGTAAAAAAAATCGTAAAGCTTTCAATTTGGGATGAACTTCCAGCCTATATCCGTTCACAAATGGACAAGTTGAATGTCAGAAGGAGCATCATGATTGTTACTGCTGTGATCCCAAATATTCTCGACGATACTTCTTAAAACATATGCATCTATATGGATTTTTCATATATACATTGATAAATAAAATCAAGGCATTAGTTTAATTTTACTACAAGTTTTTATGAATCAGGTGTTTTATCACTCACTTCATCATTGTCTACAAAGATTTATATAGATGAAAAACTTGACATCATCAAAAAATATCGACAAAGGTATATGAAACTCATTATCATTACTCAAATGATTACATAGAAGATTTCCAATTTTATATTATTCATTATCTAAACACTAAATTTTTTTCAGGTATCGCAGAACGGGAATAGAGGACAATCATAACACAACGATGATACCAAACCAATAAATCAAGTATACAAAACATTTATGTTTCATCAATCTTTTATTTCTATCAAACATAAAATATCATGATGTGATATTAATTCGATTGTATGATTATAATTTTCCAGCATTAGACAAGTTATTTATCTCATTATTTAATTTTTTGGCATCAACAAATTATATAGTTTAAGTGAAAAAACTAAACATAAACATACATAACCCATTTATACTTGTACTTACATGTCAACTATGTAAATTATATTATACCAAAAAAAACTATACAAATTAAAATGTTTTTCAAACATATTAAAATTATAATATATAAGAATTACGCTTTCTGATTATGCGTACGAGTTTGAACACATTCGACTAACAACCCGTAACAACTCATTAAAAAGGAACATGAGTATACACAAACTTAACCTTACAACTACTACTACAACCACCTAATATTGTGCGTTAACAATATTACTAAACGTTCCAACATAAAGCATAATAATGAATATAAAAATTTAAGTTATACACATATTTACTTGCTCAGTATAAACTATATAATTTATAAATAAATAGTAAAATAAATTAAATTTCAGTAAATTATTTCATACATAAAATCAATAATCCACGACATTACTGAACTGTGTCACTGTTCATACTTTCCTGCAAGCTTTCTTCTCGCCAACGGGAAAAAATTTAGAGAAGACTCCCAAAAAAAAATCTGCGTTTGAATTTTCTTTGAATCTAAACAAGTTTTGATTTTTTCTCTTCGTTTGAAAAAAATTGAAACTTCACCCATCTTGGGTCCCTCGTCGGTTCGTTGTCTCCATCTCTCTCTCTCTCTCTCTCTCTCTCTCTCTTTATGTCGTCTCCGAATGGGAGAACTTTTCGAGTCACTTCTTTGCGTCTTGTCGTCTCAGTTTCGATTCTTTGAGCGTTTGCTCTTCTTCCGAATCTTCTGTATTTTCTTGAATTCGTATTCTTTGTAAGTCTCTAGAGATGGGTTTCGATTGATTCTGATCGGTGTAATCTCAGGTGAGTATTCTTCCTCGATCAAAATTTCGGAGCTTTTTAATCTGTCTAGTCGATCATTTGAGTGAATCGAAGTGGGTTTTCTCTGTTTCTCAACCGAAGAAAGTTTTTTTTTCCTTTTGTCCCCTAAATTTATTGCATTCGTTTGAAATTAGGCTTCCATAAGTTTCTTGCATGCATCTCACTTGACTAATTTCACTCCCCTGATTCAATCTCAGATGAGTTTTGATGCATTTGAAAAGGCTTTACTCGAGCATTGGTTGGATCGTTTGCTTGTTAGCTTCTGGCATCTGTTACTGCATCTCTGGTCATTCAGGAAACATTCATGCTCGGTCCGAAGGTAACTTGGAAGCTATGAACCAGCTTGCCTGCCAAAACTTTTAGGGGCATTGGAGTTCTCTAAATAGGAAGCTCAGATTCATTATTGGGAAAGGGTAGAGGAGTTTTTGGCAAAATCTTGGTAATGGGCTTGAGCTAAATGAAATATTCAGTTCAGATTAGCATAAGGAAAGAGAGAAGAGTTGAGAGGAAGATGGGCTCTATCAGTTCTTGTTTCCGGGTCGAGGATTTTGAAGAGCACGTGAATTCGAGCAGCTCGGTATATAGGAACTGCCCATGCTTGAGATGCCTTGTTCATAATTTCCTTAACGTGGTATGTTCATGTGCTTGCTCGCTCGCGCTTACGGTTCATGATTGTCTTTGTTACCATTGACTTCTCAATTTGCACGTCAAAGAGATGATGATGATGATGATGATGATGTTGGATTTCGTAATGTTTTACGTTCTGAATCCACGAAAAAAGTGATCTTTTTATGTTCTGACCATCGTTTTTTGGCAGTACATCTTTCCCCGCTCAGTCACATCTTCCCTTGAAGGTTTCGGGTCAATAACTTCTTCCACTGCCTCACATGACAACTTTCTGACCGATACATTCCCTTCTACTCCAAGGCCTCTGCCTTATGACACTGATCCTAGGTACTTCCTCCCGTCACAACGTGATTCACTTGTCTCGAGACGTGAGAAGGGCTCAGGCCATTCCCATGAGGAATGGGAACCCTTGAGAAGTGATAGCAATGTGGATTCTGAATCTTTTGGCCTGGGAGGAATCGGAAGCAAATGGGTTAGTAAGTCTGTCCCTGAAGATGGGTCCAAAGAAGGGTACTCTAAGTCCACGCTCAGAATCATGCAATCAAAGACGACGGCTGGTAACGAGACAATGTATGTATTGTCTGAAGATGAAGATGTCTGTCCAACGTATCTCGAAGGTAACCGAATCTTCGTGCGTGGTTTCTTTAACGATGCCACTCTTCCTGTTCATCTGTTTTTTTACATCTGGTAAAGTTAGATACTTAACACGAAGAAAAACATCTCGGTTCTTTGTATCTAGCTCTCGAATTGATGAGATTCCTATATCAACGTGTTTTGATTTTGAAACTATATGTTCATGTGTAGAATATACAGTGGAGAACCCCAAGATTGTTACCAAGTGTTCTCACCATTTCCACCTTGGCTGCATTTACGAGTGGATGGAGAGAAGTGAAAACTGTCCTGTTTGTGGAAAGGTAACCCCTTCTCTCTTCTCCCATGTCCCTCTGCAGTGTTTCCATTGTTTTTTTCACATGCTCTTCACCTTCTTATCCATTTGTGGGGGGATTCTCTCTCTCTCTCTCTTTCCATCTTCTTCAAGAAAGGCAGGGACTCGGGTAAGGAGGCTCGTAGTCATTAGACAAAGGTTCAACGTATAGATGTTTCAAGACAGAACAAAAACCATATGTCCCTTGAAAATGTCTGATCTATAGCATGAAGAAGAAGAAGGAATACTATATCTGCTGCTATAGCTCAGCAAAGAACTGAACTCTCACTGAAACATACGGTGGTTCAGTTTTCGATCTGAAATTCTTCTCATCTTCTGAGATTTTCTCGGTCCTTTGCAGGTGATGGAATTCAACGAAACACCGTGATCACTGGCCTTTGTCGGCCCGGGAAGCGTAGATTTGCTTTGCTTGTGAATATTGTTCGATCCTAATGGTAAACATGAAGAGAGAAAAAGAATGTTTTCCATGCCAAATGAGGAAACCTCCCAAAAAACAAGGAACCAAGAACAAAAAACTCTTGGTATGTATTTTTTGGTTGTGGGTATTTTCATGTCAAACTAAAATGAATGTAATCTATTGAATTAAAGTGTGGAATTAAAAAACATATAGATATGTGAGCCGAGTCCAACACGTAATAGAAGAAAATGTTAACAACCATTAATGGCTGTTGCAGATAGTCGCAGCGTCCTATTAGCTCAGCTGGTTAGAGCGTCGTGCTAATAACGCGAAGGTCGCAGGTTCGAGACCTGCATGGGCCATTTATTTATCTTTTTTAGCTTATTATTTTGTTTTCGCCCCAATTTTTTGGAAACTTTTCATCCAGACCCCGCATCTCTTGAATGGCTCCCATATCTCTCCACCACACCACCAGGCACCCACGCTTCCCCCCCCCCCCACATTCCCCCACTAACCTCACAAGGTATTGGGAAATATTAGGGTTCTTCCCAATTCCTATCAAGCAATTCGACGCGTTCCTACATAGCCGCGTAAACTTGTTTTTGGGTTTGTTCGTTTCAATCTTAGAAATCCTGTCGGAGAGTAAATTTGTCTGCTTGTGCTCGTGAAGAGAGATCGAGTTTGTGAGATAGCAATGGAAACGGATCTCAGTGATTATACCGTTATCAAGGAAGGAGAAGCGGAGATTCTCATGCACAAGAAGAACCAAGTGTTCTTCAACAAGGCCCAGGTTCCAAAATCTTCTCTCTTATCATTTTTCCTTTTCCCCCCTTTTCTGTTTTCTGTAGATTATAGGATTTGAGGTAATTGCCTGGTGGGTTTTATGTTTGATGCTTCCATTTTTTTCCTTTCCTGGATGTTGAAAAATGCATAGTTTATTGGATTTTATTCGACTCCTATTGATTCCCTTCCGATGAAAAGTGTTACTCCATACTAACAATTGCTTGCAATGTATATCAATAGATATCGACTAATCCTTGATGAGGGGAAATTTAGGATTGTTCTTGTAGTTAGTCTGGGCATTTTATTCATCGGTTAATTTGAGTTTATAGGTTGTTTGTTTTCTGAATAAGTGTCAACGCCATTGCTTTGGCTGCTGACAAGAACTTGGTTTGATTGAATGTAAGGAACTGCCATAGATGGCACTCAAGATTTTTTGCTTTCTATAGGAATTTCCGCTTTGAAGTTTCCGATAAGATTTCCGCTTTGAAGTTTTCCTTTTGGTTGTCCTAAAATCACTAGTATTTGGTGCGAAAGATAATGTTTGCTTCTAGCTATGGGGTTCTGAGTGTTAAAGCTGAACTGTTTGCTTGTCTAATTGTTAGGTCAACAACAGGGACATGTCTATTGCTGTCCTAAGGGCATTTATATCGAAGCGCAAACAAGAACATGAGGCTATGTTGTCTAAAAGAAATAGATCAGCTGGGAAAGTGCTTGACAAGGATGCTTCCGAATCTGCCACCGGAGAAGCTCCCTGTGAAAAGAACAATATGAATAATGGAAAGACTAATGGAGAACATGAAGTGGCACCCGAAGATGGGCCGAGCTCCGCATCGAAAGAACCTTCCAAGGCCGTCGAGGAAACGGGTCGGAGGGAGCTCAAGCCACCGAGAGTGCTTGAGGTTCTCCTATGTTTTTTTCTTGTGACAGTAATAAATAGTTCTTTCTTGTCATGTTTCATAATGTATTGTGTTTATAGTTGTATAACATTGTCTTTTTTTTTGTGTGTGTACTGTTTTTTTCAGGCACTGTCAGCTTCCGGTTTAAGGGCTTTGAGATATGCTCGTGAAGTTGAGGGAATTGGTCAAGTTGTGGCACTAGACAATGACCAAGGTATTTGTTTTTTGTTTGGGAAAAGAATATCGGTATGCTTTTTCCCCTCAGGTAATGGCATCCATGGATTATATACTATTGGTATTTTCCTTTTAAAAGCATCGGTGGAAGCTTGCCGGAGGAACATAAAGTTCAATGGCTCGGTGGTGTCTTCAAAGGTCGAGTCTCATCATACTGATGCTCGTGTATATATGCTCACCCACCCAAAAGAATTCGATATGGTATGCATTCATTGATCACATCATTAAATTCATTATTTAAATAGATGTGCTTGTTTTCTACTCTTTTCATTAGACTGATTTTTTGTTAACTATTTTGGTCAATGATTTCATAGGTTGATCTCGATCCATACGGTTCACCATCTATCTTCCTCGATTCAGCTGTCCAATCAGTTGTTGATGGTGGGTTGCTGATGTGTACGGCAACTGACATGGCAGTGTTATGTGGAGGAAATGGAGAGGTTTGCTATTCCAAGTAAAGATCGCCCTTCACTCCTTCCTTTACAACATATTATCTCCGATCTTTTGCTAGCCATCCTAACCTTTGTCAATCAGATATGGTTCTTATCCGTTGAGAGGGAAATATTGTCATGAGATGGCTCTGAGGATCCTCCTTGCCAGCATCGAGGTAATTGTAATTCTCAGTAAACACTGTTTAACTTGGTGCTTTTTCTTGCTGTATCTATTCTCGGTTCTAGGCTAGAGAGTAGAGCCTACAGCTCTTGTTCTTTAAATTCCTTTTATTCGTTTGTTTTATTACGTCTTCTTGCTTTGACTTGTGTTATCTTCCATGCGATGAAGAGTCATGCAAATCGCTACAAGCGGTACATTGTACCTGTCCTGTCTGTGCAAATGGATTTCTATGTTCGTGTTTTTGTCCGTGTCTACACGTAAGTTTCCTTTATAGGTTCAAACATGCAACCTCAGTTATAGGTATCTTTTATGTTTCAATTAAATATCTTCGAATGGCTAAAACCCCAAAGGTAAATGAAATGCAGCTCGGCAAGTGCAATGAAGAACACTCCTCTCAAGCTTTCGTATGTCTACCAATGCACCGGTTGTGATTCTTTTCATCTTCAGACTGTCGGAAGATCTCTCCCTAAGGTATGTGGTAGAATTTTGACATCCTCTGTACAATTAATTCAAAAATCGGTTCATATTAGAGGATGTTACCATACTAAATGGCTGCATAATGTTTTTCTCCAGCACCTCGTTTTATTATACATTTTGAGTCTTTTTACACGTTTGTTTATGTATTCTCATTCTCGTTTATTTGTTTTCATGTTTGCAGAATAACAGTGTACGGTATCTACCGGCAATTGGTCCAGTTGTTCCTCAGGATTGCATCCATTGCGGGAAGAAATATAACATGGGTGGACCGATATGGTCTGCTCCCATACACGATCAAGAATGGGTGGCTTCAATCCTAAACGGTGTGAAATCCATGAAAGATAGATATCCTGCTTATGACCGGATCTGTGCTGTGCTTACCACAATTTCAGAGGCAAGATACTCAGGATTTTTGTTATGTTTATTAGCCAGGCTGCCGGAGGATGAATCGTTGAAAAGTTGCATCTGATTTGGATTCTGTCTTGCAGGAATTACCAGATGTTCCTCTGTTTTTGAGCTTGCACAATCTCTGTGGAACCCTAAAATGCACTTCACCGTCAGCTGCGATGTTCAGATCAGCAGTGATCAATGCTAAGTACCGAATCTCGGGGACCCATGTGAACCCACTTGGGCTTAAGACAGATGCTCCAATGGAAGTCATCTGGGACATCATGCGTTGCTGGGTAAGGGAGAGATGTGTCTTTTCTTTGTTTTTCCATCTGAAAAAGGCATGAACTTTTTTAAACTTTTACATAATCACATTTCTTGAACATGTTCTTGAGCATATCCTTTCCGGTGATAGAAATGGTGGCTGATCTGGTTATGAACCGTAGGTTAAAAATCATCCAGTGAAGGCTCAATCACCTGATCAGCCCGGAAGTGTGATTCTGTCCAAGGAACCATCTCATCAGGTTGGTCTCTCTCTCTCTCTTGGGTGGAGGTTTACAGAAGCTGAAAAGGTAGTGACTTTATGATGGATTGTGGTGAAGGCGGACTTCTCTCGTCAAGTTGGGTCGCTGAGCAAGGCACAGGCGAAGAAAGTAGCACGCTTTCTGCCGAACCCAGAAAAGCATTGGGGTCCAAAGGTGAGGGCAGGTCGCCTTATCACTAGCAAACACATCTCGCTCCTTGGCCCTGAAGCTGTCAACGGCCATCTCCACCACGACCAGGAAGAAGAGGAAGAAGACAAGGACCAGGAGGAGCGTGATCCCAAACGCCAAAAGACAACAGAGGATCTTTCCTCCACGTCGTAAGCCCTGTTTTGAGCTCTCTTGAGAGAAGAGAAATGGTCTCACATCGGAGAAGCCTCTTATTTAGAGAAAAGCCAGTCGCCGCAGCAGCAGCAGCCATGTGTCTTGTTTTTTGTACGACATTTTTTTCTCTCTATTTTTATGCCTTTTTATTACGGAATAATAATGCCCATTTTCATCAATTCTTTATAAATTTTTTGATCCACCTAGAATATAATTTGGTCGGACGAAACCAGGCATAAATCATCCCGTGATTTATCCGAGTTTGAAAAAATTTCGATGCTTTTGCTTTAATCCTTGGTAAGATTATGGTTTCGAACAGCAAAGTCGTTGTAGTATAGTGGTGAGTATTCCCGCCTGTCACGCGGGTGACCCGGGTTCGATCCCCGGCAACGGCGTCACTTTTTCTTTTTCCTGTGTACAATACGATGTCGTTTCCGTTAGTATCGATGGTGGGTCCGTTTATGGATTACTATATTATTGTTGGAATGTATTTTTCCTGTTTTTCTTAAAATGCTATTGCGCACATTACACTCTCTTGGACTTATGAGTGGAGCTTTTTAAAGCTTAATATATCGATTATTATCTCGTGAAAAGTCCTCAAGAAGAGCTTTGCCACTCTTGGATAATTTGCTACATGCATGGATGCCGACTGAGACTTGCATGGATGGCGATCACCATCATGCGTGAAAACCCTTTTTTCGTGAGCTTACTCCATACCTATATATATAGCCTTTTTTTTGTGAATTGTCATGGGTCCCTGCTTTAATTTACATCCTTTTACCTTGAACATTTTCTCGATGTCCTTTCCCTGCCTCCATAAGTCTGTAATGAGACCGTATATATATACATATATACATCTACGTGAAAGAAGCTCCAAACTCCGCTCATGTACGTACGTAACCTTTCTATTGAAAAATAAAAAATGCGAAAATTAAATTAGAAAGAAAGAACAAAAGATAAAAGAAAGAATGGAAACACTTTTATTGCTACATCTCTTTTTCTTGTTGCTTTACAATGAAAATAATTCATACATTTATATAAAAAGTTATTGAATGAAACAAATAAGACAAAATATAATTGACACGATATATATTTTATTCTTAATTGATATTATGATTGATAATAATTAAAGACATAATATCAATTAAGAATAAAATATATATCGTGTCAATTATATTTTATATTTAATTATTATCAATCATATCAAATCTCCATATTTTGTTTCTATTTCAACACTTTCCTCTTCTTCTCTATTTTATCTTTAAACACACATTTCATTCGTCGCTTCTTGAGTTAGATGTTGAGTGTATCGATCGTGTTTAGGGTTAGATTCTCACATCGAGTTTAAGAAGTTCAAAATGAAGTTAAAATGAACTTGGTTTTGTGTGTTTTGATGAGACTATGTCGATAATTTATCTAATGAAATTTGTTATACTAACTTTTTTTAGTAAAATAATACCATTGTGAAAGCCTTTGTAAAATATTTACGTTTTTGAAAAATCCTTTTTAGTGTTCTTATTAATCAGGGTTTAAATATTAATTCAGGGCATAGTTTTAAAGGTGTTATATATTTAATAATAATCTGGAAAAAAGTTGGTTTTCTACTAAAATATGTCTCTTATTGACAAAACCATTGTAGAGCCTTTCTTTTTGACCGACAATATCATTATCATTGTAGTTTGATAATGTCTTTTTTTTTTAACGAGGATGGATAAATCAATCAATTGATTGATTGGCTGATGTCATAAATTAAAGAAAAACAATTATACTAATAAAGATATGCGGAAAAAAGAAGAATATGTGATGAATCCCAAAACTAAGCATCAATTCATATGCTTTATTAAAAAAAAATGCACATCTCCATCACTAAAGCTAGACATACATACATACACATGCAAATGCAAAATAAGAGAAAGACTTTAGCAACTGGTGATGAAAAATAATATTAAAAGATAAACATAGTTTGGGCCTATAGTGGTAAGTATATGTAATAATGGTCTTTTTTTTTATATCGGATTTGATTTGCATATTTTATATCAGAAAATTAGATATACAATATTTGAATTTGAATTTAGGTTTGTAATTCAAATTTATAGGTAGGGTTTGAATTTTAATTCACAATTTTGTTATATGTAACGGACATAATTATAAAAATATATTTTGTATTTGTAAGAATTACGACATTATTTTTATATTTCTTGAAAATTACAAAAATACATTTATATAAATTCAAAATGATAAAATTATCATTATTTTTTTTTTACAAAATTAGGAACTAAATACATGCGAGATAGAATTTCAAATTTTAATCACTCAAATATTTGGACACTAATTTAATATATACTCTGAAATTTGGGGATATAAAAGGTGAATAAATTCCTGTAATACTAAACACAAATATAGAGAGGGTTATATGTTTTGATCACTCGACAAGTGTCATCGATCCACCAATAGGTGCATAGGTTTGCTCCTAATATTTTTTTTTTTTTTTGGATTGCATATGAAATCCCAAAATCTAATTTAGAATGAAATGGAGAATCTTGACTAGGAGGACCCTCCGGTCAAAACAGACACAAGAATCGATGTGGGGCCCATGTGAGATCATATAGGTGAAGTGTCTCTGCCATTGGTGGTGGTGGTGGTGGGATCGGCCGAACCATAAAGTTAATTTTACAATTATAAAAAACATGAAACCGTTAATATCGATATATATATATATATATTAGTTCACCCTCTTTTTGAATTGATATATAACTTGCATGGCATGGATATCATAAAACCATTGCATGCCATGGATATGATGATGAAACTTCCCTAATTAATGTTCCATCATGATGGCTATATATGATCTCCCTCTCCTATGCTTTCTCATGCATGAACAGCATGGCATGCACAAGGACATGATCCGAATGGGTTTTCTCTAAAAAGCAATCTATCTATAAGCGTGTGTAACAAATTAAAGCCGCCAAATTTGCAAACAGTGGGTCCCATTTCCCTTTCTCATGCAGTATATAATGACACACCTTCTCATCCATCCTCCGCCACACAATAGCTTGAGCCACTTCGTCTTTCTTTACACTGAAAACCATGCAGCCAAGTGATGGTTCAGGGCTTTACTTCCTCGTTCCTTCGAGCCCGTCTCCTCATTCATCCTATTTCACCAGAACAACCAACAACATGCATGATTTTCACGTAAACATGTATCTGAATCCATCATGCATCCACCCCCAGGCTCAGGAACTGAATCTGCAGCTCCCGTGTTTCAGCAATAACTCAACTTCCGACGAAGAGCAGCAACTAAGCATCATCAAAGAGAGAAAGCAAAGACGTATGATATCAAACAGAGAATCCGCAAGAAGGTCGAGAATGAGGAAGCAGAGACACCTAGATGAACTCATGTCGCAGATGGCTCGGCTCAGAAACGAGAATCAGCAGCTCCTCCGTAAACTGAACCAGTTGTCTGAAAGCCATGACCATGTCCTCCAAGAAAACGTCAAGCTTAAAGAGGAAACCTCTGAGCTACGTCAACTTGTCGTCACTATGAAGATGAGAAGCCATTATTCTTCCTTGGAAGCCATTATCACTCATCCAACAACTGAACTCTCGGACTAGCTGAGTTCTGTATTAAATCTGCCACTTGATATGTTTATGTCAGAGCAAAACCATCCATTATGATAGTGTTATCTTGGATTAACATTTATTAATGTCTGTGTCATACACAGAAACATGAGTACGTGAAACATGATAACGTGCGTTTTTTAAGTTACATTTAAGAATTTAAGGAAAAAAAAAACAAATGGTTATAAGGAAGGAAACATGATACCCACAGTTAGTCCAGTGGTTGAGAGGTGACAAAGTCATCCCTAAGATATTGGGTTCGATTCTACTAGTGGGAAGAGATGTAATTTTTTGACCAAAATGGTCCATATATAAAGGTTGATTCCACACCTAGAGTGGATATAGTTGGGTTGAAGATTCGGAGAACCATCCTGGTTATCAAAAAAATAAAAAGGGAAACATGATAACTTCCCGATCCTCATTAAAAATTCGGTGAATTTTTAAAATTATATAAAAAAAAACAAGAAGCTGTGAAAATAAACGGATCATTTCCAATAGTTTATTTACCAGCGAATATATTTCAGTGGAAAAAAAATTACTTTTTATGCAATTTGATGATCATTGATCATGCGAAGAGAGAGTGACCATTAGGTGGAGAGAAACTAAAACATAAGACAAAAGAAAGTTGGTCGGATTTTTAAAAATACCAAGTGAAAATAAAATTGGGAATAGAAGAGGAAAAATGAAACTGGGCTTGGTTTTGGGTTTTACATTTGGGCCGGTGGCTCAGTCAGATGACACGTCATCATTCGTTTTCCCATGTTTGACTATGATGACTCAGACGCCGCGTTATAGTAAGCCGTGAAGACCATTCTCGGTGATCGCCGTTTTGGGCGTTTCTTTTGCCCTGGGGAAAAAATTCTCTCCGATTCTTTTCGCCCGATGAGTAAATCATCCCGTTCCGATCATCCCTAGGGTTTGTGTTGTTCTTTTCTTTCCCCTTTTTGGTTTGATTTCCCGGAAAGTTGAGCGAAATGCTAATCTCGAGAAGCCCGAAATTTACCACCGATGAATGATCCATATGATCCGGTTGATCAATCGAACATGGTTTAGGGTCTAAGGTATGTTTCTTATTACGTCTGAATTAACAGCTTTGGGAATTATGAAAATGTGATTGCTTGGCTCTTATCGTTTTCGTTCTTGGATTCCTTGAAATCCACGCTACTTTAGCAGTTTCCAGGACTTTGATCTGGGTTTCGTATGAAGGGCAAGGGTTTACACTTGTCTGTTGGATCGGAGTTGGAAAGTTTCGGAACTTTTATTTATTTGTTTGCGTTATGCTAATGCTGCGTGGATACGACTGCCCATATATCTTCATTTTGCTTGCTTGTCGAATAAGATTGCAGTAACGGATACGCTTTGGGGTTGCGGGACAAATTTCAATGGTACATTTTTTGGAGTGAGTGGACATCCATTTTTGTGGTCCATAAGGAATGAATTTTGCAACGCTCTTTCCACTTCGTAGCTTACTTTAGCGCCAAAGCAGAAAAGCGAGTATGCTTTCATAAAGGTTTGTTCGAAGATACGTTTTCCTTCTTTCATCTTCTTTCGTTTTCTCCAGTAGCTTAGCTCTTCTATCTCATTTCGGTGTATGGTTAGTATTGGACTTAGGAAAACTGAAATTGCAAGCTGGTAATTGATCTGTTTGTTGCCCTTTTCGTTATGATCTGTTTTTGTGAGGCTTGTAGAAATAGCTCCATGACCATTGAGATCTTTGAAGATAATCGCTATTGATCCCTTAGAATGGTTATTATGTGGGATCCGATCAAATGGCTAAAGAACATCTTTTGGTACCATTAAATGTGTAACATCTTCAGAACTCCGGGGCGTCTTAGTTTGATGTCTGTACAAAAGTAGTAACTGAATGAGCCATGTCAACTTTTATATGTTTGCTCCAAAGACGATTGATTGAACATAGACCTTGATCTATACTTCTCCCTTTCTTAATCTGTCTTTTTGGTTCTGGTGACTTATTTACTAAAGAGAATTGACTACCATGATTTGGGGTGAAAACCATCCGAGATTCAAGTCCATGAGGGTTCTGTTTTATGTTTTGGGGGAGAAGTCTTTGCTTGTTGATTTCAGACAATCTGCGAGTTTCTCGTCAGTAGTTAATTAGGAGCTTCTCTGACATACATTATAGCCCCCTAGTAAAACTGTTCTTTTGTCTGGGTGATGTAGAGGAAATTGCCATTTTGATATATGGTGGGTACTCTGAAATCTGAACTTTGGTGTTATGATGCTTCCATCACTTGTTCATTTTAACTATAACAATTCATTTAGAAGTTGAGAATGATTTCTCTTCTTTTTTGGTGAAAGATTTAGGCATCTATCCTAGCAATGACAGAAATTGAATCTAATCTATAGGGCCCGAGGATCAGTTAAAAGTTATCAATGTAAGTTTGAAGATTCTCCACTTTCCATGGCTCTAGAAATTCTCTAAAATATCTACATATATCTCTTGAAAAGTGCAAAAGTGCAGTGACCTTTTGCTAAAAGTCATCACCTCGATGAACTTTTCACTTGAGGTCTCAGATATAGCACTAGATATTAACACCCAGTTAGGAATAGAATTGGTTTCCATTGCATCTCAAAATCCCGAAGCAGAGTTTCAAATAGAATGCATAGTTGGATGATTCAGTATTTATGTCAAATGGTTTCTGTAACGTGCCCAGCATGTTACTCTTACATGGAATTTCTGATGTATATTGTATACCTTAGAGAACTTTTGTGTTACGAACTTACGATGCACAATTTGTTTCTTTTTTGCTACTATTACATGATTTCTGTTTGTAAGATATGCATAATGGTTATGGTATACGTGATTTATTTTGGTAGCTTATCGGCAGCTTTCAGATCTTTAGAAGATAATATCTGTGTGAAGAAAGGAATTCATCAGCTGAGCCACCTGTTTTGTGCAAGTGGTAGATATGCTGAGCTATATGGTTCTTTCAGGTGTCGAAAATGGTAAGCCTGAGTACATTGTCACTTGCTCTTCCCCCTTGCCTCGTCACTCTTTTATGTAAGCGTATTCCTCAGAAAATGTGAGAAAGTATAGCCCTTTTCTCAAAAGGATGTTGTGACAAATACGTTTCACAAGCTGAATGTCATTTGTGAACTTTGATGGATCGGAGAATTAACATCTTCTGCCAGTAGTTTACTGTCAGCAAGATGCCTAAGGACAAAAATATTAGTAACATCTCCGTATGCTTACCACAAAATTCATGCGTGGATTAACCATTTTCATTAAAGTGTGGTCCATTCAGGATTCTCAGTGTTGTTACTACCTTACTTCCACTTGTCTGAGTATGTCACGGGATGATTCCTATTAACACAAATGCACGGATAATGTATGACTTTTATCTTAATGCAAGTGTTTTCTGCTACTCATGGGAATGGATGAGAGATAATAGCTCTATGATGTTTGCCTCAAACAAATCAAGATCTTGCAAAGCATAACCTTTTTCTTTCTCAGAGGCGATAAAAGATTATGCCAAGAGGCGGCATAAGTGGAATCTTCCAGCGTGTACGCTTTCAAGTGATTTGGAAGTAGCACAAAAAATCTATTGCCAAGGATCAAAAGGTATTTTCTTTCCACCTCTGTGGTTCCTCTGGTCTGGTAAGCATGGTGAAATCTGCTTTTACTTTGCTCTTTATGGCCAGTTATAGCAAGGCATACATCTCTCCCATGACACCAGTGTGAAAGTAGTTGGCCAGAAGGTTAAATATGATAGAAATTTAACATGTCATGGATGTTTTATTTTTAACTATTGTAGCAGACCGAATGATATACTCCTTTGATTCTTAATAGTTAGGCAAAAATACAGACCTATATGCATAGCTACCGTAACAACCTGCATAAATCCAAACCATAAGAAATTTACAGCATTTACTTAGGTCCTTATATGTCATGGGATTTTAAAATGAAGGAACAATTCCATATCCAGATTCTTGCATTAGCGTTGTAGAGAACGCTTGATCCACCTCGGCTTCAATGTCCGTCCTCTTTGCAAACCTGCCCTTGATCCGTGGTCTTGTCTCTGCATAAGCCTTTCTTGATGCATATCTTATTGTCTTCTCAAATTTCCTTGTCTTCTTCTTCTCTCTGTATCTCAGGACCCTTGCCTCCCTGTCCATTGGACTAAGCTGGGGCATCATCTGAATTGGAGGACCAATTAGTAGATCTGTTGTCCCTTTGGGTGCTCTTAACTGTGAGACTACTGCCATATCACTTGCTGTAGATTCTGGAACAACAACGATGTCCATGGATGACATTGATACCTAATCACAGAAACAAAAATTCCAACAATTAAACTTGGGAAGACAAGAGAGAATCATTGAACATGGAAATTTACTTATTTGTCTAGACTTCCTAATTAAAATATTGAGCTCTTTGGTGATAGATTATTGATGAAAATCCAGAAAAGCTCACGCTGTGGTTCATGGAGCCGTTGTAGCTGCCGTACAGTGCCCCTGGGGAGCCATAGGTGATAGCCAACTGAAAGCTTTGTTGTTCGTGGTGCAGTTGACCTCTGGATTCTTCAACCTGAAGCGGAACAACTCCATCTCCGCCAAAGCTCTTCTGAGGTACCCCACAATCTTGATGGTATTGACTGTATTGATCTGAAAATTGGTTCTCCATGCTTGAATTGTACTCCACAAGGTCCAGATACTCATCGGCCTCTCCATCAAAAAAGAACCCGTTGTTCTGATTATTGTTGTTCCCGCTGTTCTTCCCTGGATTAAGCAACAGCCATGAGGCCGCCTCTTCATCATCCTCGTCCTCATCTTCAGCTTCCTCTCGACCAACCACCATGTCGTTCTCTGTATCTGTCATGGCTGTCTCACTGGGGTGGTGATTGGCCATGGGACCAGACATGCTTCCAGATATTGGCAGAATTGGGACTCGATGATGGCGTCTAGCGAGTGGGTTAGCGGAATGGATCTCTGCATCACAGGCTGCGCACAGAGATGCGGCATCTGCCTTGCACAAGAAGGCAGCCGGGGCACGCTCACAAGACTCACAGACCCAGACGCGCTCGTGGCGGGAGGCCACATGATTAGCAGCGTGAACACGGGCATCACAGCTCGTGCACAAGTATGCAGAATCAGCCCGGCAATACACCGTGCAGGCGGCTGAACGGCATGTGTCACAGATGCGTGCCCAGTTGTTCTCTCCAGTTTCTCCACCGCTGGTTCGCTCTTCCTTCAACATAATCAATCAACTATGTTCCTACCCCTCTCTGTGTCTCAATGTGAGGTCTGATGGTAGGGGAAGTTGGAGGGAGGGAAAGGGCTATAAATGTTGTGAAAATATGAGCAGAGGAAGGAAGGATAGAATCCTCTGAGGGCCATACTGACACATGGCGGGAGCTAGTGGTGTGGAACTAGTGGCATACAAAAGTTGTTGGGTCATCTTGTGGCTGGCGGAGTTTTTGTGGAGTTTTGAGCAAAGGGACCACAGTTTTTTTGCTGCTTTGGCCTTTTGGAATCATTAAACACCAGCAAAATACTTGGTTTCTTGTTACACTTTGGTATAAGAGAAGAGATCACACACTACACTATGCTACTCTCGTGTGTAATAAGGAAAAATAAAATCTCTTCCTATGTTCCCCTTCATTGGGCTTCCGTAAGTTGCTCAGTGTCCGACACGTGGCAGACAAAAAGTTTCCAAGTGTTGTAACGCCTGAAGTTGCCGACTCAGTGGACAGCCTCGATGTGGTAATATAAACCTCGCTTCCATATTAGTTTGTGTATAAAGTTGCGAAGTTTTGAATTTCTCTGGCATGATTTTTTACTTTTTTAAACTATTTTTTTTTTGGTTTCATATCCTTGAAGATCATAATGTTATTAGCCGGTGATCTTTGGTGTTAAGGTGGTCCCTGTGTGTGGATGTAGATGAAGCTGACTTGTTTCACTTTGTTTGCTTTTGCCACATCAGGGACGACGTGGAACATGCCGATATACATGGAAGGAGAGAAAGCTGACGAGGACAAAGCCTAAGATGCTCCTGACAGCCAATCGGAAACTGCCAAGTAAGATGTAGTCAAGAGATTAGGATGGAACTGAGCCACAAGTTGCCAAACCTGATCTCTTCGAGGTTGGTTCCTAAACGAGAGGTTAGTATCATCTCTCTCTTGTCTCTCTCCTGATTTAGCCGAATCGTCTTTTCTTGATCCCCAACCATCAAAAAGCTCCACTTTTTTTCTATATGATTTATGTTAATGAACTGGATTTAAATTTTGTTTTATTATGTGTGTTGAATCATCTTTTTGCATATTTTTTTTTGCTCCTTTCCCCGAAGGAAGTACAATGACTACAAAATAGAAGAGTTTATCCAACTTATAAGCAGTAGAGTACAACTACATTATGCTTTTTTTAACTCGTGGGATGTGTTTATTTCAGATTTTGAGTGATGCGGGAGCTGAAGGAAACCATGTTTCGTTCATTATCAACAGGTGGGATGGGAGTTTCTACATATGAACAAAGAAAAGGACAGAGGGCAAAAAAACCCATAAACAACAATATTAACAGGAGAAATGCAGATCAGGATGCTATAACTACTGATTCATGATCCACACTGCAAGAGGATCGGAGACTATTCAGAAGGGGCTGGCCTCACGAGCCAGATTCAGCAAGAACTCTGGAACGAACCGCTTCAAGGTAACTTCCTGAAGATGTTCTTCTTCAACCTCTAAACGCGGATTCAAGTAAAGTCAGAATATGATTAGGGTGAGACAAACTTAGAGCCGGGCCCAGACGGTTACCCGAAGGAGTTCTTTGTTTCAGCTTGAGATACAGTCGGGGATCACCTAATTGAAGCAACCATGGAGTTCTTCCGCAATGGAAAACTACTAAAAGAGCTCAATGCGACCATCATCACATTGGTTCCGAAGATCCCAGAAGCCATTAACCTTGGGGACTTTAGACCAATCAGTTGTTGTAATTTTCTATACAAGGTTATTTCCAAAATCATTGCTAACCGGCTGCAACTTCTACTTCCTTGGTTAATCTCAGGGAATCAGGCTGCATTCCAAAAAGGACGTTCTATGGGTGATCACATTATGCTTGCAGCGGAGCTGGTAAAGGACTACAATAGACCCTCGGCCGAGCCAAGTGCAATGCTAAAAATCGATATCAAGAAGGCGTTTGACTCAATTAGCTGGGATTTCATTCTGGATATACTAAGAGCCTTGGACCTTCCCCTCGTCTTCATTGGATGGATCAGGGAGTGTATTACCAGCCCTTCCTTCTCGGTTGCAATTAATGGAGAATTGGCTGGCTTTTTCAGGGGCAAAAGAGGTCTCCGGTAAGGAGACCCCATCTCGCCATACTTGTTCATTATCTCGATGGAGGCACTGTCAAGATCCTTGGACTTTGCCATGCTCCAAGGAAGGCTATCATCGCATCCGAGGTGTGGTTCTCCGCTTATCTCTCACCTTGCTTTTGTGGATGATTTGATGGTCTTTGTCAAGGGAGGAGTGTATTACCAGCCCTTCCTTCTCGGTTGCAATTAATGGAGAATTGGCTGGCTTTTTCATGGGCAAAAGAGGTCTCCGGCAAGGAGACCCCATCTCGCCATACTTGTTCATTATCTCGATGGAGGCACTGTCATGATCCTTGGACTTTGCCATGCTCCAAGGAAGGCTATCACCGCATCCGAGGTGTGGTTCTCCGCTTATCTCTCACCTTGCTTTTGCGGATGATTTGATGGTCTTTGTCAAGGGGGAAAGTGATGCAATCATGCATGTCAAGGAGCTGTTATGGGATTTTGGGGAATACTCGGGACTAACCCTAAATCACAGCAAAACTGAGCTATTTTTGGGGGGACTAACGCAACAGGAAGCTATGGACATCAGCTCCTCAGTGGGTTTTAACCTTGGACTGATGCCAGTCCGATACTTGGGGATTCCCTTAGGCCCATGGAAACTGCGTCGACAGGATTTCATGCCGCTACTTGAGAGGGTCAAGAAGAGGATTACATCGTGGACCTATAAGTTTCTATCATACCCAACTAGGATCTTGTTAATCTCATCAGTCATTTACGGGATGGTGAACGCTTGGAGTAGAGTGTTTATGCTCCCAAAACATCTATTAAAGGAGATTGACAGGTTGTGTTCAACCTTTCTGTGGAAGCACTCGATTGAAGTCAGGAGCAAAGCGAGAATTGCATGGAAGCTAGTATGCCAACCGAAAGAAGAAGGAGGACTGGGCATCAGGAGATTGGAGGACTTCAGTTCCATCTTCAGGTTAAAAAGTATTTGGATGATCTTTAAAGAATCGGGATCTCTATGGGTGGCTTGGTTGAAGGAAAACGTCTTTAAGAAGAGGGGATTCTGGGGAGCTTTGCGTTCACAGCGACAGTCTTGCCATCTCAGAAAACTTCTTGGGTACAAGGACCATGCAAGGGAATTTCTCAGTTGTGTACTCGGCAATGGGAAGACAACAACTTTTTGGCACGATGACTGGACAGGGATGGGGCCACTTATAGAGCGCATTGGGGCTGCAGGCCCTCGTGCTCTCAGAATTCCCCTATATGCTGCTGTCGCTAAGGCTGTTAGAGGTTCAAACTGGAATTTTCCCGGAGCTCGATCTTCGGCAGTCCAAGTTGTGTTATCTACACTACAAAAAAAATACGAAATTCCAACGGATTTTTCCAACGGATTAATCCGTTGTAATTTTTCCAACGGATTTCCAACGGTATACCGTTGGAATAATTCCAACGCATTTCTAACGGATTTCCAACGGACGTCTAACGGATTCGTCCGTTAGAAATCCGTTGGAAATTTCCAACGGCATATCAACGGATATTTGAGTTGGAAATTTTCCACGTATATTCCAACGGATTTCCGTTGGAAATAACGTTCGACGAATTTCAACGGCAATCCGTTGAAATTATTCGAACGTTATGAAACGCGGCAATAATTCCGACGGATATCCGTTGGAAATAGTCGAACGTTATAACGTTCGAAATATTCCAACGGATATCCGTTGGTAAGTGTAACGGTAACGAACTTTTCAACGGATTTCCAACGGATATCCGTTGGAAACTTTCTCTATTTAAAGCACCCGGCCATAATTCGCACAAACCACTCTCTAAGTCACTCTTATACTATTCTTTTACCAAAAATTCTCCTAAAAATGAATTCTTCAACAAATCCGAATATTCATTCGTCCCGACAGTGGATATACGAAAGAGTTGATTCGATTACAAAAGAGGTAACGCAAGAATTCATTAACGGTTTGGAACAGTTTATGAATTTTGCTTCTATGCAGCCGTTGTGTCAAGAACGTGGAAAAATGCTATGTCCATGTACAAGTTGTCGCAATTTTAAATATCGCAGTACAGAAGATGTTTGTAAACATCTATTTCGAAGGGGATTTGTCGAAGATTATTATATTTGGCGATTTCATGGAGAAGAAGTTCGGACAATCACAACGGGACAACATGTCTCGGCCGAGCAGAGGTATGATGTAGATGAAGATGTAAGAAATCCTTATGTTGAAATGGTGACAGATGCTTTTCCTGGGGCGCCATTGGCTGAGCAAAACTTATCACAAGATCAGGAGGAGCCAAACGTCGAAACAAAACGGTTTTTCGATATGTTGGATATGGCAAATCATCCTATCTATGAAGGATGTAAAGAAGGTCAGTCACGTTTATCTCTTGCATCAAGATTGATGAGTATGAAAACGGATTACAATGTCACCGAAAATTGCATGGATTCATTTTGTCAAACGTTGCGTGAATATTTACCTGAAAATAACGAAGCTCCAGAATTGTATTATGATACGAAGGCTATGTTGAAGAATTTGGGAATGCCTTATGAAAAGATTGATGTTTGCAAAAATGGTTGCATGCTGTACTGGGGTGAAGAAAAATAATTGGTTATGTGTAAATTCTGTGGGACTAACAGATATCGTCCGAGTAAGAATGTACGGAGATAAACTCCGTATAAAAAGATGTTCTATATGCTGGTATCGTACAGATTGAAGCGTTTGTATGAATCACAACAAACGGCTTCGCATATAAGATGGCATGCCTCGCATTCTACCGTTGATGGAGAAATGCAACATCCATCAGATGCTTTGGCGTGGAAAAACTTCAACATGGTATTTCCTCAATTCGCTGCTGAGCCTAGGAATGTGTATCTATGTTTGTGTACTGATGGATTTAGTCTGTACGGACAGTCTGGCATGCAGTATTCATTATCGCCAGTTATACTTTCTCCGTACAACTTACCACCTGAGATGTGCATGAAAAGAGAATTTATGTTTTTTACATTGTTGATTCCTGGGCCAGAACATCCGAAGAAGAGTTTTGATGTGTATTTACAGCCGCTCATTAAGGAGTTGAAGGATTTGTTGGCCGATAATGTTCACCCGAGGATACACGTTTCACACTTACGATCATGGAAAACATAAATCCACGTTCAATTACGGAGTTTGTATAAAAAGCGGGTCATCGGAAGATCCTGATTTCTTTGGGGTTCTTCGTCAGATTTTCCAACTCCAGTATCCAGGATTAGTCGGGTTGAAAACAATCATATTCAGATGTGATTGGTTTGATACAACGTCGGGACGCGGCTCACGGAAAAATCGATGGGGAGGTATTGACATAAACCCGAAACGTTCATATGCAAAGTACGATCCTTTTATACTTTCAGATCAGGCAGACCAGGTATGCTTCATTCCATATCCGAAACATTCTGCGACATCGGTGAAACGGCGACGGGAAGATCAATGGTCGGCTGTTTTGAAGATTAACCCACGAAGATTAATTATCGTGGATTCGTCGTCGACAACACAAGATCTCGATGAGCCAATGCAAGAGCAACTCGAAGATCCGGTTCTTCCCATCCGACTAGATGATGATTACGACGAGACACTTGCACTTCCTGACATAGACGACGAGTTACTTGATGATTCGTTACACGTACAAGACGATATAGACGAATTCGTTTCGGACCATGATACAACTCCGGATGATGAAAGTGATGAAGATTCTATATAGACTTATTTGTTTTTATTGTTTTCATATGTATTTGTATTTTGAAAAATCTATCATATTTTTTTGTATTTTTTTT